GAGCAGTCAGAAGTCTAGGGGGCTAACACTGGCTAACGAATGTCCTAGGGTTTAGGGGTTTAAAAGTTTAGGGTTTAGGGGTTTAGGGTTTTAGCCGTAGGATGCCCTAAACCCTACGCCTAAAACCCTAAACCCCTAAACCCTAAAGCCCTAAACCCCTAAACCCTAAACCCTAAGCTCCTATGTAAACCCCTAAACCCTAAACCCCTAAACCCCTAAACCCTAACAGGCCTCAAGGGCAGGGAAGGGTCGGACCTTCGAAATGGCAAGGACTGTCCCTTGAGAGCCGCGGAGCCTTCAGCAGGAGTTCAGTTTATGGTTTACAAGATTTGGAGCTTAGGCAGTAGGGCTTAGGCTATATAGGTTCGGGCTGATGAGTCAGGTTTGGCCAGGTAGGGTTTCAGGGTTTTTTCGGTTCTCTTGGAATTCGATAGAAGTTCTATAGCGGCTTTCGAACCAGGAACCATGGCGAGGTAAGGGAGCGCAGGGTGTGATTCGAGTCAAGTCGGGGAATCTTGTGGATCGAAGTGTTTATGGCTTGGTGTGTGTAATACAGGGGCCTTAATTATTAGAATAGGGTTCCGGGGCCAACTATGCTATAATTATACTAAGGAACCACCCAAAGAGCAATGGTAACGACTTAGGCCCCTACATGAACTTAATGTAGGGGCCTAAATAATTGCCATTACTCTTTTGGTGGTCCCTTCGTATAATTCTAATTAAGAGCCTAGGGTTGAGGGTTTAGGGGTTTAGGGTTTAGGGTTTTCGCAAAAATGCGTGCCCAAGGCGCTGAAGGCAGTTGCAGGCAAAGCTCTCGAGCTGCTCCATCGTCACGGGGATGACGACCTTCCTGGCGACACAATGTATAGGGGCCTTAATAATTTGAATAGGGTTTCGGAGGGTTCTATACTAATAGTCTAGTATACCCCCAAACCCTATTCTAATGTTTTAGTTCTTAAGGCCCATCTACTAAGGCTTGCTAGATCTAAGGGCCTCCGGATCTTGAGCTGAACTTCCTTGCTAGTGACTAGGTATCCTAAACCCTAAACCCAAAGCCCTAAACCCTAAACCGAGTGACTAGTGGTCGGTGCTTATTGCTCTGCCGCACTTGCGAGACATGCGAGTTTAGCTATCCGGAAACCGCTGACTGACAAGGGAAAGCCAGGAGCTAGGTGATACTCTTGGTGATATAAATCCCGCATTACCTTAAGGACACTGAACTATGGGAATTATGGCATATTCCTTATTGTGGGCAATGCAGTATGTCATCAACCGTACTGCCGGTGGAGATGAAGATGCTGAGAAGGATGAAACGAAGACATCCATGAGGCGTGACAAAACAGGACCCAAACTTCAAGCAGCCAAGCTTCAAGCTTCTTCTGAGTGCATTATACCTTGGCAGTGCGATGCAAGGAAGCACAGAGCCCAAGCTTACAACGCTCAAACTGAAACTTAAAGCGTCCAACTCATCAGTTCAAGCATCATTCTGACGCCACTGCTAGAACTGTGCATCTGATTCGATGTGGTTCACATGGCTTGCCAACGTTTATACACTCGTACAATCTATGGTGCAAGAACGGAAGTGGGTTTGTCACAGCAGACCTGGACAGAATCCACAGGTGAACAGCTCATTCTTGTCACCGAGGCAATCATATCTGCTGCTATTCTTCTTCTCTTGGCTTTTCGAAGTAGTAGCAGCAAGGGTAGGCAGCAACAGGAGCAGGAGGAGGAGGTGTAAGCAGAATAATCGCAACTGTAGCTGTAACAACGGTAGTAGCAGTGATAGCAATAGTAGCAGCAAAATCTAGTGCCAGCACTAGTAGTTCTAGCTGTACTAGTAGCTAGCAGTATTAAGTGATGCTAGTAGTACTAGTAGTACCAGTACTAGTCGTCGTCGTCGCGGTGGTGATGGTTGGGGGGAGGAGGAAAGGAGCAGCAGCAGCAGCAGCAGCAGCAGCAGCAGCAGCAGCAGCAGCAGCAGCAGAAGCACTAGTAGTGCCCGATTCCTGGGTTCTGGATATGACGATGGAGTCCTCACAGTCAGGGTCCCGACTGCAACTGGGCCGCACTGCGTCAAGCTCAGTCTTGTCCGGAATCGCTTCTGGACAAAGCCTTAGCTGTTTGTGCTGGACAGAGCTGTTGGGATTCGGAGCTGGGCGCTTTTTGGGTGCCCGGGGGTGAGGCGGGTTCGAAACAATTTCTGATCCAAAGCGTGAACACTGTGGGAGATGTAAACATTACAGTAGTTGTAGCTAAGGCGACCCACGAACAAGTCCTAACCTGGTACGTATCGAACTACACCAGAGCTGGAATGAGAATGAACTGATGAGCAAACATAGAGCATGAACACAAGATCCCCGACACAATCTTAACAAAGGGGATTTCATAATGGGACTATATGGGTATACTGTTCGTAGTTATTCCGGCCCCTATTAATACCGTCCTAGCCTCCACCCCTCATATGGGGCTTAATTTCCTAAAAGCCGCGAAAGCCCCGATACCGCTCTCAGCTGAGCCGACGGCACGGCAAAGTTCACGTTGACAGACCTGCCACTTCGACGCAGGAGGAGGCTTCCGGCCGTGACTTTGCCGGTTCGTAAAAACCCTCGACCCTAAACCCTACCTGTAGCCGAAAAAACCTACCTTTTTAGGGTTTCTTATTATGATTCCTATATATAGTTCCTTAAAAGGTAAGTCTTTTGGGCCACAGGTAAACCTACAAACCCCACATCCCTTGACCCTACACCCTAAACATTTACGTGAACCCAACACCCCGAAAGAGCCAGAAATGCCAGAGCCTCAACACCCAATGCCTCTAATCCATGCAAGCTCTGGACCGTTCGTTTTGTCCGTGTAGGGTTTAGGGTTCGGGGGTCAGGGTTTAGGATTAAGGGCTTTGGGGGCTTTGGGGTACGTTTGGATACGTCGGCTTCACAGTACGACGTCCGGGATTACCTGAAACTTCCAACATTTTCAGGGCGACGAGCGCTCACAAGGTGGCATGGGCCCAGGCCGTGGACTTAAGACTATTTACGAGCTTGGACATGTGGCGACTCGTTACTACGGGACTGTCAACGAAGAGTTTTGAAAGGAGAGCAACCCCAAACGCCAAAGTCAGATCGTGAGACGAAACTGAGACCCTGAACTGTACTTCCTGGATAGGGGGCTGTCCTCTTTCCTGATCATGGGGAACCTACCAACCTGCACATATATTGATGTGCGGGCATGACTCACGTTGTTCGAGCCCCTAGATACATCCTCCCGCCGAGGTGCATAAGGACGTTGGTGTGGTAGATTTCCTCGCCATGCCGATCTTTGGACGTGAAGCTGACCAGTTCGTAGCCCATCTCCTGCATGAAGCAGCAGAGCAAGATGAAGCAATGACGCCGTGGTGTGGTGCAGTTTCGACAGCGACACCCACCCCCATTCTAAGCCCTCCAAGTTGTTCTCCTGAAGCCATGACTAGTCAAAACTTTAACAAGCAAGCGGTACCTCGAGCCCGACAAATTGCAGTCTGCAACTTGACCTTAAGAGCCGTGAAGCCCCAAAGTCCCTCAACCAACAAAATACCAAAGTCCCTCAGCCTCGAAACCCCCCAAACCTCAGCACACCAAACCCCTGCAAGAGGGGGGATAGGGGTCAAAAAAAAACTACAAAAACACTTTCCGGGATCAAAAAAACTATTCACAGATCAAAAAGAAAACTATTCATTTGCATAAGCCAAACACAAGCAAAACACAGCACACAAAGGAACAAAAGGCAGAAAGACAGAAAGACAGAAAGAAACAAAGAAA